AAAAAGCCAGCCTTAACCGGAATTCAAACCCATAACGATGGATTTGAACAACCTTCACTAGACAACCTTCGCTAACCACGTTATATCCAGATTGACCTTTTGAGAATGTTACTCTTGATATATTGCGTTCTTTCTTTGATAGTTATGTTTTTTTAGAACTATAATTAACTAGAAATACTATTGTGAGAGTGTCTAGATTCATTAATTACTAGTGCTAAAATCCCCTATTTTCTGAAGCATTTAATGTGTTCTTTTGTTTATGTGTTTTTGTACAAGGAGACATTAAAGGTCTGAAAATCCTTAAAATTTTTGAAAATTTTGCTGATAAGTCATTTTGAAATTATATTTTATGCAAAGAAGAGGCTGACGTATTTAACAGTTAACTTATTTCTCTCCTTCGTTTATTCAGTATGTGTAAGGGATAAATGTCATTCTACGAAATGCTTGTGAGATGAAGTAGCAAAGAAGACTTGAAGAATTTTCAGGAACTTCGTACATAATATTTCAGGTTTTTCATTCCTAGTAGGGACTAATTCTAGTCATTATAAGTAAAATTCGAATAAATATCTTTTGAAGTTTCCTACCGTTGTTATATAATTTTATTATGAAAATCCTTAACTTGACATTTTTGCACATTTCAGAAATACGATCGAAGGGAAATTTAAATCCTTATGTCTAGTTTTGTGGCGTTCGCCGCTGTTCTGTCTCCTGGCAAATATTATATCATTTAAAGCGCATGTTAGCAGAACTTCCAGAACAACGGTGAACAGGGGAGGACAATTTTAATCCTCCTGATATGCAGAAACATATTGCCAAGGTTACTATACTACAAAGTTTGTTCTTGTGTAACGTCACTAAGTTTTTCTCTATTCCCTTTGTGTTCTAGTTTCTCCCACTTCTGTAAGCAAGGTATCAGTGACCCAAGTGACGTCAGCGTTGGGAAGAAGCTAACCTTGTTTGTCTACTGACCTTGGATGTGGCAACAACAGCATGAAGCAGCTAAAATGAGTGAATACGAAAAGCGGATGGTAATTTCTTTCAGTTAGCAGAAATATAGTCCTAATAAACTAGGTGCATATTACGCTTGTGCAAAACACTTAAGTGATTTACAAGCAAAATATTTGTGAAAAATATATACATATATAGTGCATAGTGCATCTATAAAGTTTCAGAATCCGTTTTTTTTCTACAAAATCGAACTTCGAAGAAGACAATATTTTTACTTTTAAGCCTCAAAATACAAACATTGTAAGTCTATACAACGTTTGGCGCGTTCATGTAGCTGCTTGGTTTTTTCATATAACTCATTTTTAGTAATACTGTTTAAATCTCTGGAAAAGATTTTCTAAATCTATTCAAAATTATTAAAACAATGAGGCAAAATTTCCTTTTTGTATCTCTAGTAAACTTTCTAAACCTAAGAAAATTATTATCGTTTTGTCTTAATTGAAGCAAATGAAGCAAAACACCTTAATCTTAATGAAGCAAAACACCAACCTTCATTTCCATAGTTTGAAAAAAATTCAAGATTAATATTTGCCGTTTGGATCAAATCTTGACATGTATTCGACCTTCTAGTATTAATTCTGCAAGAAATGTTTGAGGGACAAGACGAGACCCTTGCCCATCCCCAAGATCTACCACGAAGAGTTTCCAAGCAACCTTTTATTGACGTTAAGTTCAAGGTTAGAAAACTAACAAGGTTCCAGTGCTGATGTTACTCACTTACAGAAGTGGGAGAAACAAAGACATAAAAAGAATACGGAATATTTGAAGTTGTTTTTAGCAGATTAGTGAGTCAGTGATGTCATACAAGCACAAACCTTGTAGTACAGTAATCTTGGTTAAGCTTCATACGCTATCATTTGAGGAGACCGGTAAAGATTTTTAGCAGCAATTGTCGAACATCTTCAGTGTTCTGATTCGTAACTGATTGCCACTGTAATAATTATAAAAGCTGTGAATTATCATTTGGAAAGTTTGCTGAACTTCTTTAAGAAAATTATTCCGAAACTTTATAGATGAACAGTGTACATTACTATGCTGAAAATTAGATACGTATAAGGCATGTTGAGGGCAAATGTGTGTGTGTGTGTAATTATGGCAAAGCCTCGAGGGCTATCTGCCTAAGAGGAGGGATGCCTTCGTGGAGGACTTTCTAAGGGAAACTGGCTCGTATACACGTTACACATGGGGAAAACCACGAAAACGCCCATGCAGCCAGCCCGTTCGCGGGATTCGAAGCTCGGACCGAACTACCAGTGTTAGCGACTTTACCGCTCGGCCGCTGGTGGGCCTGAGGGCAAATGACTTCTTACCAACGTCACAGCCTTTTTTCCGAACCTTTTTCATGTTCTCTTGTTTTTTTTAATTCATTTCTATTTTTGATTGTGTTCTACGCCTAGGAAAATTTATTGATTGCACAATAAGGGGTTTATGTTTACGGTGCTAGTCCAAGCTGCATTATTATTTAGCAGATTAATAAAGCAGATTACATTCAATTAATTTAAATTTCTCTTGGTAAAACTGATTTGAAATCCTGTTATTGTTAATATTTATTATTAGTAAAATCCAGAGTGAATGTTGTTAATGAGGTTGCAGGGGGTATCTGTTACAATCACTTCCTACTTCTTGCCAACAGTCTCTCCTTAATCTATGAAATCTGTATTTGTGACTCTTCGCGGCTGAAATAGATTAGATGGTTCTTTATTACAGAGAGTTTATACTTTCGTCATGATAAAAGTAATCATAAAGTTCTTTTTGAAAGTTGTAACTTTGGAAACTCCTTCCCTCCAACCGTACTATAATAACCTTCCATTTCATGAACAGAAACTGATAATGCACCGGAAACGCCCAGGCAAAAAAATCACAAAGAAACAATGCAAGGGGAAACTGTTTATCTATTTAATATATTAATATGAAAGATGTTTAATATAAAAATGTTTTACAATTAATAGAAAAGTAAGTAAAAAAACTTCGCAGTTTTTTAATATTTCGCAACAAATCATTTTGCATTACCTGTCCTCTTGTATCACATTATTTTGTATTTATCTTTAAGTTAAATTACTACTTTTTTAAGTTAAATTACTAAGCAAAATCAAATATCAACGCGAACTTCTTATTCCAGCTATAGGAAGCTCTAGTCCAAAGCTACATCATATGAATGATATCAGAAGTTAGTTCCAGAAGTTGCAGTATAGTATAAATTTAAACTATCAGTAACTAAACCTAACTGATGCCCTTGAAGAGGTCTATGAAGTTAAGAACACCGGAAAACAGATGTAAAATTTTCTTAAAATTCTATGTAATAAACTTCAGCGATATCATCATTATATCACATGTTTCTTGATTTATTGTGGAAGGTGATTACAGTCACATAGATTTCCGCCACAAAGACTAAATTTCTCTCGGGTTTTATTCTTCTTTCATGATTCTTTATTAATCAAGAAGTTTATCTCGTGAGAAATATGTCTCTATAAATGTCTTATAATTATTGATTAATTATTACTATTTACTTGGCAGTGTTTAGGAAGCTAATATGGAACCAAATCTCTAGTTCTAAATTTTATTTATAAATTTCATATGTTTCTTTTTCTTAATATTAAAGAGTATAAAAATTTTTACTATTTTTTTCGTCTTTTTATTTAAAATGATAAAAGCTTTGCCTTCTTTTTAAGTCAAATTTTAAGCAAAGAGTGCGAAGCCTATAAACTACAATATACAATTATTTAATTCTTAATATACTATATAGTTGTTTATGTTACGTCATCAAAGTACGTAATCCATTGATAACGTAACTCATAAATTATCGGTATAAATCGGTATAAAGTATAAATGAAATCGGTATAAAGTATAAATGAAAAAATAGATACAATTGGTAGCACTAGAAAAACGAAGCTTATTGTCATATAACAAAGGTTATTTGCATTTGTTCTACATCAAAAACCATTAACTCTTTTCGTCAAGAAACTACTCGCGCAAGTATTTAATTTCGCACAGAAAAATAACTTTGGAGTGAAGTTTTGCAGGAAAATCTCATATACCTTATCTGGATTAGGGAATTTCAGTTTGCTAAATCTACTGTTACGGCAAGTGCATTTAACATTGAGTAAACGGGTATCTCGGTAATTTGGCGAGAAATCGCCAAAAGTAGCAAAATTTGGCAACCATTTGGCGACATTTTTGTCTGGTTCTTATATTACCGTACTGAAACTGAATAAATGTAATTCACCACTGTGTTAGCTATAACCGTATTTCCACCCTCGTACTGCTTTCCAGTAATTTTGAGAAGCGGAAAGTACTAGAAATATCTTTGGCGGCCGGTTGAAAACTATTTAAGGCCGAGGAGAGTGCTTCTGCTCTCAGTTTCTTAGTTATTGCCGTTGCAAGTTGTTAGTTCCGCATGAACTGAGATAATTCGAGTTAGTTTTCTCTTCAGATGCGTTTTGCATTACGTTGTGTTTAACGGTCTTAGTAATTTAAAGTTTAACTACTGATTGTACTTTGTGATATTGGAAGTGTTTCTGTTAATAAAATAAATTTTATCAACCTATGATCGGACGTGTGTGCATTCAATCTACTACGAGCCCGTACGCATGCAGCACTATGTACTATTCATTGCATCGCAAAAGGAAAATCTTGCAGCAGAGGAGACATATCTTAATTCTTTATATTCTGTCTTACCTAAAGAACAAAATGGGAAAAAGTCCACAACCAAAGCCTTGCCGACTATAATACATTGGTGATGTATTATTAGCATTTACCATTTTAATGGATCAAATGCAAAGAAGAACTTTGAAGAGAGGTATCGTAAGAATATATACTATACCCTTGATCAGATTCAAATTCGGGGCCTTCGGAGTGTTGGATTAGTATGTGTCAAACATGTCACAGTGAAAGGTATGGAAGAATTTCTTAGCATTTTAATTAAATATTTTCATTATATGCCCTGTAATCAAAAAAGCAAACAGAAAATTTATTTTGCACTAGAAATATCTTACCTCATATCCACAAGTAGACGAAGAAACGCATTGAAGTACAGTTAGTAATAAGCCAAAGATTGCAAAAATTTGTAACCTTGTTGTTATTGCCATGTATGGATACTGTATCATAAAACTTCGGTCTTTTATATGATTTTCAGCACCTGAAATGAACAGATATTTAATTTAATTTTTTTCCTGCATTGCTCTTAAAGTAGCACACACACATACATATATATACATATTCAAGGTTGAATTTGGGATAAAAAAATAAAATGAAGTGGCACGCAACAACGGTTTGTTCGTAGTCATGGTTATCGCTATTAAAACAAAAGGACTTTGAACTTTTTCTTTTTTCTCCAACACCCAAAGCAGCTATGCACGTTTTTTCAAAAATTAATGTTTATTTCTGGGCGTATAAATCTATTATATGCTAAATATACGTTGACTATTTAAATTCAATCTGACTTCATTTGTTTTAGAATTATAAATCACATTTCTAATCGTTCACTTTCTTTCGCTTTCCGTGAATCTTCTTGGATGCCTTGTCCATGTTTTTTTTTTTTTTTTTTTTTTTTTTCCAACCAGATTTGTTTTAAAGTGTTTCAAAATTAAATTAAACAATGGATTTGTGTCTTAAATTCAACACTTCGGCTGTTTTCTTTTCAGATACTTCCCGATCCCAATGAAAAATTGCAAGTTTGCTTTTATCTAAAGAAATTTCAAATTCTTCGATCCATGGTTAACAAACCAGAATCTAAAATTTTCCAAGTTTAAAAAACTTCTTCCAGATGTTTTATAAGAAAAGCCTGCTAGACCTGGCTCTTCATAACATTTATACTGCAATGCTTTAATACTTTTTTACCTTAGTTTCGTATTTAAAGGCAAGGTATTTAAATTATCTCATTAATTAATTAGTATTATATAATATTATTCCTTATAATAGTTTTAGCGTAGTTTTTAGAGAGAAAAAGCAACGAAAAATATTTAGTTTTGGAATAGTGGCTGTATTTTTATAACTAAACATTTGAAAGCTTCTTATGCTCTAATATTTTTTTTTTTTTTTTGAGTCACCGTATATACCAGATCGAAACTCGATTGTAAAACGAAATTCATTGTAGAATCACCTGTTAGATTTTCTTGAAAATGGAAACAGATATAATCTAAAGATTTAGCTCTTGAAGTTAATACTGACAAATTAACGCTACTGTCAAACTAAAGTCACAATTTCAGCTGACGAAAGGCTTTGTGAACAAAAAAGAAACATAATGATACTAAGCCCGTTCATTGTTAAAAATCAAGTATTTCAGAAGGACCAAGACCTCCGATTGCAAAAATGTAAGATAGATATTATGTTATTTAAATTAATATAAAATGTAAAGGAAAAGTAAAGTAAATCTGGTTTATTATAGTTAAAAGTTAAAATAAGGATTATTAGAGGAGTTAAAGCAACAAAATTCAGTAATATTTATAAATATTACTCAATGATTGTTGATTGTTTATAAATATTACGCTGATTATTGTTGCTTTAACTCTGTCAATAAATCTAGTTTATGCCTAGTCACGTCATCACTTCATCCTCATTCACTATGTTCACTATACTACCCTGTTTCTTTTAATGTTTTGTAATCCAGGAGCATAACCTAAGCTTTAAATGGAGTCGGATGCATTCTTACAAGCAACAATAATCATGCAACAACACAAACAGCTTTACATGTTGCAATAATCTTGCAACAACACAAACAGCTCTTCCTGTTATTGCATGATTGCCACATAAAAGATAGTACTTGCCATGAGAAAACTGCATTTCTGACGAACGTAGTTATAGATGGGTGAGTTAAGGCATATGATTTGAAATCTACTATTTTCAATACAAATGGGAATAAGGATGTCAGGAGGCCATTTTGGATTTCAAATAAGAAGAATAAAATGCTTTAGCATGAAAAAAGAAACGTTATTCTATTATGAATAAAAACGTATAAATTCATTACATAATACATTTATGTATTCACCATAAATGTATTATGCAGACATAATACATTCATTTCATACCGCCCGGACGGTGTAGTGGTTAGGAAGCCTGACTGCGATACCGAAGGGCCTGGGTTCGAATCTCGGAGAAAGCACGGTTGTAACTGTCCGTCCCTTTCATAGGAGGCGATGGTGGCCCACCTATTAGGTTCCTCCGTGATAAAGAGACTGCCACATCTGGACATAAATTAACGGACTGTGTTACAATATAACTGTTCAAAATCTGCTACTGGGGAAAAAAAAACCCACTTATAGAATAAGGGTTTTTAACCTTTTTGCACCATGCACCATTTTCACCATTGCTAGAAAATCATCCCCCCCCCCATTTTCAAAACTTAGAAAATAAATATGTATGTTTATCTAACTTCTTAAATGTGTTACTGAACTATCTTATATGTTTTTAAGATGATTTTTTAACTTCTTTCATAAATTAAGCAACAAAACGTGTATAAAATGCTGATAAATACCAAAACTTAAACTGATGGAGTTATTTATATTTATAAATCAAAACTAAATACTTAACATGCAAATAAGAGGCTCATCGAATCCCCCCTCTAAATTTATGAAAATTTCCCCAAGGGGGAATCCCTGGTATAGAACAGTAGTCAGTTCTATTATTCACTTCTTTCATGTGTTATTCAGAAACTTTTTCCTAATTTTGTTACAAAATTTTCTTTACAAATTATTATTCCGATTATTTTCAGATTCTTCAAGTAAGTAATTTAGTAAATATTCCGGTGTTTTGTTTTCATATTGTTGTGTGCGTACGGGTTCGTTTGAATTGAATGCACAAGTCGATGAAAAATGGACAAAAATTTATTACTATTACAACAAAAAAATTTCCTCATATATTCTTTCATTATTACAATATCTCACAGTAGTTATCTTAACTACTCAAACGTTCAACAGAAGTTAATTCAAAACAGCTAAAGAAAGCTAATCCGCGAATTCGCTATAATCAACAAGAGCAGTTTTGTAAACAAACTCTTAAAACAACAACAAGCTAACTAAAATAGACTGACTGAATTAAGAGGTTTTCCTTCTTTTTAATAAGATTTTCAAATCGCGCGCGAGAATTTTCTAGTACTTTCTCGAAATCAAAAAGAGATATTTATTTATTTATTAAACGTTAAATGCACGTGCTCTTGTATTTTTAATTTTTTCGGCTTAGCTTTCTCATAATATTCGTCACGCGCTGCATTGCACAAGGAACAAACAATTTAATTTATAACTCTCCTAACATTAACTATTTAAATGCCAAATTCGTAACAATATTTTCAATGTTAACAGTGTAGACTAAATGCAACTGTAGATAGAAACGTACGCCTAATTTCTTCATGTATGTTTTATACTTTGAAATTAAGTTCAATCATATTCAATCCAAACAGATACAATCTATCTAGTTTTGCAGCAAGTATCGCAAATAAATATCCAAAAATAAAAATGAAAAATGTAGTTGATGACCTATTTATTTATACTGCTATACGAAAAATGTTCTATTACATTAAAAATTCAGAGTTATCAAAAATAGATAATGTGATTGCGTACAAAACTTGTGCAGTTGGATAAAAACGAGCAATGAATGGAACATCATCAGTCAGATACAGTTCTACAAAGCAGCAATCAAATTATCTGTTGTTATTGAGTGTTCAACTGCTATCTAGTGTAACTGAAAGAGAAAGAGAGGAAGGAGGGGGAAAAAGGAAGTGTTTTTATTTCAATAGCTTCTAAGCCAAATTATATAGAACAAAATGCCAAACTTACTAGCGTGTTTTCTCACTGTTTTTACTTATTTTACCTCTTGAAAATCCAGAGATTAGCAGATTAGAAAGCACATATGAATGGATACTAACATAACTTTAATTTTAAAAATAATAAATAAATATTAAAAAAATTAAAATCGGAAAGGTCTCAGATTTTAAATTACGTCCAAACGGGCGTTTTCTTAACATTTTGCGTGTTACCTTTACTTACTAAATATTGTTACGAATTTGGTATTTAAAAAGCTAATGTTAGTTCAATTATAAATTAAATGGTTTTATTTCTCGCGCAGTGCAGCGCGTGACGAATATTAAAAGAAAGCTAAGCCGGAAAATTGAAAATACAAGAGCGCGTGCATTAAATAAATAAATAACTTTTTTTTTTCATTTCGAGAAAGTACTGGAAAATTCTAGCGCGTGATTTTAAAATGTTATAAAAGGAGGAAAACATCTCACTTTGCCTAGTAGTTGCTTAGTTTGTTGTTTAGAAAACTGCTGTTGTTGATTATAGCGAATTCGCGGATTAGCGTTCTTTAGCTGTTTTGAATTACGTTCTATTGTGCATTTGAGTAGTTAAAAGATAACTACTGTGAGATATTGTAATACTGCATGATAATTTGAGAAAATTTAAGCATTTTTGTTGTAATAATAATAAATTTTTATTCATTTTTCATCGGACTTGTGCATTTATTTCATAACGAACCCGTACGCACAATATCTTGTTCTTCGCACTTAAACCATCAAATTCAGTTCAACAGCAATATCGGAAAATAATTTTAAAATAAGCATATCTTGAGAATTTCCGATACAGAGTCGTTCGCTGGAGATAAAAATGTTAGAATTTCCGATACACAGTCTCGCGCGCTAGAGATAATTTTTTTTTTTTTTTTTTTTTCCCCTGTACAGTGTTACTATTGCTCACTTTGAAATCATTAAGTTTGTTAATGAAAATTTCATTAAAATTTTGCAAAACTTGAAATAGATAATAAAACAAATTCGAAATTCCAAATTTGGGCTTTCAAGTGCCCATGTTCGGTTGGAGGATACGCTGTTCAAAATGTGATGGCTTCTCTTTTTTCACAATGCGAGAAACATTCATGCATTCATGAGTATTCTTCATTATTTAGTTTCTTTAAATATAATACATAACGATAATATTTGGTGGCAAAAATTTGAAAAGTGAACCAACGCAGAAAGTGAAATGGCGCAAAATGCCGTTTTGAGACTAATAGCCCTTTGGGCCTAATACCCGTTTGGGCTAAAAATTCCTCATCTAAGGTCTGTGTTATAAACATAATAATAATTTCATCACTGAAAATTGTTTTTCAGTTTCTTTACAGCAGTTCTTGAAAAGTTTCAGCAGATTTCATAAAAT